CAGCAGCAGACCGCGCAGTCAGCAGACAGCAGGCAGCAGGCAGACGGCGCGCTCAGCGCAGCACGTCACAGGCACAGTCACAGTCGTGGGGTAGCGGTAGGTGGGCCCGAAAAAAAAACGGTCCTACGGACCTACTGCTCTGAAACCATGTTATAATATAAAGACAGGAATGAATGAACTATGAAAGAGTTGGGTACAAGTATGAAACCCTAAAAGGGGTTGTACCCAATATTGGCTACCCCACTACAGCCTACACATATATAACATGCATATACTTTGACACCAGCCAGCATGGCACGACCGCCAACAGAGCCAATCATCATGCCCGAAAAAATATTGAGCCATCGAGTATGTGACCCACGTGGAGCTCGCAGGATCGAATTTCCGATCCGGTGGAAGGACCGCACACCAACTGAAGACAACTGGGTGCCCCTGGATAGAATTGAAAATCGGACGTACACGCACTCTCGTAAGGGGAGCCTCCTTGGGGAGGGGGGTAGTGTAAGGAAAATTCCTTTTCCTTACTTCGCGCCCCTGCTTACCGCGTACACAACTGTTTCCGCCAACAGCACCCAACAGTGCAACGTTACCCGTTCGCGACACTCGCCTCGACCATTGTCTCGCCTCCGGACCTCGGCGCTAGGCCCGTAGCGCACCCCATTTTCTCGCGTTACCGTTACCACGCTAGCTTCGCTATATATTGTTCGCTCATTCCTTCGCTCATTGTACTGCTTTGCTTAGATAGTGCAATTCTCACTCGTTCTCTCAATTGCACTCGTAACAACTGCTATACTTCTCTTATGCACCAGATTTTGTGGCCAATTGTGTCAACTGTTGCTGCAGTTGATGAATCAGACGGATTCGGTTTGCCGCCTGCGGCATTCCTGATCCGCGCAAATGCTGCAGCCAGGCCTGTCGCTACAGGGCATTTGCCCTTTTTACTCTTGAATTCAAGTGCTTATTTGAGCCCAGCTCAGAGAATTCAAGTGCTGGCTTTGAGGCCAGCCCGTTTTCCTAGCCCGGATTTCACGTATACGTTTAGAGCCCTTCCTTAAGCCCCTACCCCCTCGTTTCCCTTGTTATACATTCCCTGCTTACGTAAAACATCCTCACCTACCCCCCCCCCCGCTGCATTGTAGATCGGCTTATGTAGCTGCAATGTACCGCAGCCCTGTATTTGATTTGAACATTAACCTACTTTCGCGACGAGTTTACGCTCCAGTGCAGAAGGCTGTGTAGCCCTGAATCTAAGTGTTGAAATTTGACTAAACCCGGAAAATTAAGGGCTGAAATTATGCCACCTCAGCCCGCTAAGTTCTGGGTCGAGGGCAAGCGACAGCTCTGGCTGCAGCCTCACTTGACATTGTTGGTTGGTCCAATCAAGTATCGACCAAAGAGTGATCGGATTCTGCAGCTAATCTGGACAAATTTGTGGAGATCTGGCTACTGTAGCAGAGTTGTCTAGGGCGTGTTCCAGTCTGCAACTGGAATGTTTTGTAGAGCGCACCCTCATGTGCCTACCTTTTCCGAACCGGCGAAATTGGCTCGGCTGTAAACTACTTGCTGTGAAAGCAATGGCCAATTCCACTCACCAGCCATCTCAACAGCACTGCTCCTGCCGACAGGTGTTCGCCTCACCAGCTTGGAGTCAGGAATGTCCGCCCACCAGATCTACAGCCAGAGGAGCGCAGGAGACAGCGTGGAACTTCAAGGATGAAATCGGCCTTGTTGTCTTTGTAAGATAGATTTGCAACCACACCCCCTTTACACTCTCGGGCCTGCCCTGTCAAAGCTGAACCCAACACCAAGCACACCCTTGCTGCCAGCTTGCCCGAAGCGAGGTTGCAGGGTGGTTGACCCTGAAATTGGAGGGTGGCCAAAGTGAAAGGAGGTGTGTCGCTAGGAACAAACCTGTAGTCCCGATTCCCACGTCCAGCCTCGCACGGCCACCTCCATCCAGTCACTGCTCGACTGTATTTTTCTACACCACGTCAGTTTTTCATAACTGTACTGTACTGTACAAACATATCCATCCACCCGAATACTCCAAAAGTTTCCAGGCGCATTTCGAGCTGGTGCCAAATTGGTCCTGCATTTAGGGGGTGTTACATTGCGCGCTGGTCCATTTACAGGAAATGGACCAGCTTAGACAAGGGAGCACCAGTTTACAGGGATCACTTGCGAAAGTGGTCCCTGCCTGGTACCCGCGTGGTCCCGGGCACCATTTGCAGCCGACCCCAACAGCACAGTGTTTTACAGTTTCGCAAAAGCAAGGTGGACGAAAACAAAGTCGCACCTAGTAACACGCGAACTACATTTCGCGACGGCCCGAATCGCGAAATTTTCAGCTTGTGCTAGCGAAAAGGGGCGACGTGGAGTTTTCGCGAGTGTCTGGGCCGCGAATTGGGGTCGACTGTTGGAAGTGGTCCCCCAAATCCTGCACGCGCACCGACCACTGTACATGCTGGTCCGTGGGGGGAGCTACCTGGGTCACTACCTGGGCCGTTTGCTGGTCCAAACAGCTGGTCCACGCTGGTCCGCGCTGGTCCGCGCAAATCCCCCTGGGCCGCAGCGGCCCAGCGCGGCCCAGAGTAGTTCTGCCGCACATGTAACACCCCCTTAGAGCCTCCACTTCGATTTTCTTGCACACCCCCGAGCCTCTCCTCCGTACAGTGTCTATCATCGGTCAAGAAGGTGTACCCAACTGATTGAAGCTTTCCACTTCACGTGACTCGTGGTGACCTGAAGCTAAAAAAGAAAAAACACATCCGCCGCTCATTCCAGTTTACTGTTAGTGCAACTACTGTACACCTAGTCCGCGGTATTTTAACCACGTGAACTGTTTTGCTTCAAACACCCTTTGTTCATTTTTGGGTAATGAGATGGGCACCCAGAGACTTCAAGGCTATTGTTTCGCAGCCAGAAGCATTCCCTTCTAAAGAAACTCACACTTAGTGCTCCGAAATAGAGGGCGGATTGGCATTGAATAGGTCTTGACTGCCGTCGCCTCACAAAGGGTATGCTAGATTCTACCCTCAATAAATTTCAAAACTACTCGTATAAAAAAGTTTGACCAAGGAGAAGTACCCTCGCGCGGTTAAGATAGCGGCGGTTAAAATACCGCGGACTAGGTGTACTCATCGTACTGTCAGCCAATGAACTAGAAAATGGCGAGCCTGGAAACCTATTGAACACGCTCTAGAACTTGTTCAATTCCAAACCCTTACCTTTCGCTTTTAGGCTCTCCTCTCACCACCTTATCTCTTCATACATTCTGTGCTGAACCTGTCATTGACGAATGCGGTCAACGAAATCGTGTTTGGCAGGCGAGAAGCTCGTCTAGTAATCTAGACCTATCAAGTCTTTTCACAAATGTTTCACTTATCAGACGGTTACGCGGAATGCGGGAAAGGGGTTGAGTAGCTCTATCTGTGCTTCGTCTAACAGACTTAATCGGAAACATAACGGTGTTGCCGTTCTCCATAAGTGGTCGTGTCGCTGGGATGCACCTCAGCTCTTCTCGGTCGTCTTTGACCGGAAATCAAGGTGATTAGCTTAGCGAAGCAGCCTGGGATCGTTGCGTGTCTTGAGAGAACCTTCACCTTTGAGTATTCTCAGAAGTCCGTCGTCCACGTTCTAACGTGCTAAATAACTCTGCTTTTGGCGTTGTGTTTGTTTCTTCGTTCTCAATTCTTCTAACTACCCATAAAACTCCCAAAGCTCGCTCGGAAGAATGAAACTTGGAGCTTGTAACTTACTTAGTAGTCCCTTCTCTGCAGCATTTTAGGTCAGGTGCTTCTTCTTACTGTTTCGCACCTCTTGTTCCTGCCGTCTCCATTAACTATCCTTTCCTCCCTCTCTTCCCTCCCCCTTTCGTCTTCCACCCCCTCCTCTCACCCCCCTTCCCCCTTTTCCCGTCTCCGTTCCCCTATCCCCGTCCTTCACGCTCCCTCCTTTTTTCTCTCCTCCGTTTTCCAATGCAGATCGGTTTGACCACTATCAACACGCAAAATCTCCTCTTTCTCCCCGTCTAGCGTCTCAACACCTTCGTGGAGAACTCCTTAAAACACCTTCTATTCGCTCTCAACTCCCAGCCATGGCACCTTCACCTATGTAGACCCGCCATTTCTAATCCGTCTAGCTTGCCGGCCGTCCTGTCACCTTGCCGCCGCTGTCTAGCTCCCCCTTCCATTCGGGTCTCCTTTACCTATCGATCCGTTTGTTTCTGCGCGGTCTCTCTCTCTCCCTCTTCTTTACGGGCGAGATTAACGGCGGTAGTAGCAGCAGATTACATACAGTCCCTTTATCGTGTAGGGTTTATCCCTTTGTGCCGGCCGTCCTCTAATTTATTCTACACTCGCGTCACGCGTGTGCTTCCTTCTCCTCATTTTCCTCACTAATTAATATCCGCAAACCGTTAAATACGCTCTCGAACACGACTGAATTATCTAAGAAGCCTTGCCTCTCTTAGTGCATAACCTTTATTTTTTCTGTCGCTTGGGGAACGCCGCCTCTTTCATTCCGGTTACTGATCTCGTCCGTTCTTTCCCGAGCGGCCTATTCTTCGTTAGTCACTTTCGCGAAGTCGGTCTCGCGACGCTTTCGCCGATCGGCCACGTTTCGTCGACAAGCGAGCGACGATGAGCATGCAAACAGACTCGTGCGACAGCGTCGCCATGGCAGCAGTCAGCGCAAGCTATTCGGGAGGCGCGGGGGGGAGTGGCGGAGGCGGGCCGGGCGGAGGCGCAAGCGGAGGCGCAAGCATAGGCGGAGGCGGACTGACTTCCCCCAACACCTCCGCCGCGCTAGACTCGGCGGAACTGCAGGGGGCTTTTTCCGCCTCCCAGCTGCAGCAGTTCGGGCAGCAGCTGCAGCTGCAGGCGCAGGCGCAGGCGCAGGGCTCGGGGGGAGGGGGGCTTTCAGCGGACGCGCTTTTTCAAAACATTTCGCCCAACTCGAACGTTTCGCCTAGTTCGCACATTTCGCCGAATCACCCGTCAATGATCAGCCCCGGAAGGCAGCAGCGGGAGCTGGAACAAGCGAGCGAGTTGTGGGATATGCTGGGGATGAATGTGGATATGGGAAGTGGGGGGGGGATTGGCGGAGCGGGGGGCATGGGGAGGCTGGGGGGCGGAGGGGGACCGGACAGCGCTGGCGCTAGCCCTGGGGGTCTGGGGGAACAAATGGGGGAAGACGGCGGCGGGTGGAAGAGCGCGGGCGCGGGCGGGGGCAGGGGCGCGGGGGGAGTCGGGGGGTTCGGTGCTGGGGGAACAGAGGGGTGGGGAGCAGGAGGGGGAGGGCAAGCAGCGGGTTTGGCGCCGAATGTCCCGCCGTCCGCTGCCGCTGCTGCAGCGGGCGGCATGGGAGGTCAGGGGATGGAGTTAGCGGGCGGCGCGGCGGGATCAGGGCTGGGGGGGCTTTCCGCGCTGTCCGGAATGTCCGCGTTACAGCAGGGCGGGTTAGACGTTAAGATGATAATGGAGCTACTCCAGAGGGATCGCGGAGGGGGGGATATGGGCGGAGGGGGGGGCGGGGGAGGCGGGGGAGGCGGGGGGGAGGCGGAAGGTCTGGGACAGATGGGCGGCGGCTTGGGATCAATAGATCCAATAGCGCAATTGGCGGCGCTTTCGGGGGAAACGGGGGAGGGAGGCGGGGGGGGGATGGCCGCTGTGCTTGCGGCGGCGGCAGCAGCGGGAGGCGGGGGAGGGGGGGGAGGAGGAGGGGGAAGTGGGGGAGCTGGGGGGTCGAATTGGATGCTGCAGCAGGTGCTTCAGCAGCAGCGGCTGCAGCAAGAGAAGGAGAAGCTACAGCAGCAGCTGCAGCAGCAGTTGCAGCAACAACTGCAGCAGCAACTGCAGATGCACCTGCAGCAGCAGCAGCAGCAGCAATCGCAGCTGCAAAAGCCGCCGCACCCGCCCAACTGGATCCCCCCCGCCCAGATCGCCCTGGCGCTAGAGAGAGTGATGGAAGGGGAAGGAAACGGCGCAGGCGGGATAGGAGGAGGGGGGATGGGCCTTAAACATGGCCCAGGGTCAGCATCAGCATCTGGGGCACCAGGACTGTTCACCTCTGGCTCATCTAGACGACTCACAGGTGCCAGTAACCTAGGGGGACACATGAGAGGCCCCCCCCGGCACTTACCCGGGGGCGGGGCGGCCGCTGCAGCAGCCGCAGCCGCCGCCGCAGCAGCAGGAGGGGGAGGGGGGGGAGCAGGAGGGGCGCACCACCGGCGCGCGCTTTCTCTGGGCTCCGCGGCGCTGCAGTTTGATGGTATTAGCAGTGGCAACAGCAGCCGCAGCAACAGCCCGCTCTCTGGGCTTCGCATGGCCTCCCAACACGGGCAGCACGCGCAGCACGGGCAGCATTACACGTCCGCCTCCCCCGGCTCGTATCTCATTCCCCGCGCCGGTGCTAGCGTATCAGGTGGCAGTGCCAGCATGGGGGGAGGTGGCGGAATGGCGGGCGGCGGAATGCCTGGCGGCGGAGGCGCAGGTGATTTCTCAGAGGCCGCCGCGATGCTTCTGGCGGGGGTGGGGGGAACGGGCGCAGGGCAGGGGGGAGGGGGAGACCCGGGGTCGTTCCAGTCACTTCGGTCCCGTCGAGGCCTGCCGGATTTGCCGGGATATCCCCCTAATAGTGGCTCCCTGGGTTCTGGGCAGGATAACCGTAGCCCTAAGGGGAAACGTGAACCGGAAAGCAGTCTTGCCGGGTCACTGGCAGGCGGGTCGGGTAAATGGATGAATGTCCCTTCGAATAAGAGTCCACGGGCAGAGGGGCAGCTGAGCCCGGGCAGGAATCTGAAACTTGTGAACACCGGGCAGGTTCCTGGGCTGACCGGTGAAATGGCTCGACTAGCCATGGGAAATTTCCGTCCGTTTGTGAGCGGGGGGTCCCCTAATGCTGCTGCTGCTGCTATTGTGGCGGCTGCTGCTGCTGCGGCAGGGTCTGGGGGCAATGCAGGGGGTTTTCCTGGTGGGGGGGATGGGACGAATGGGATGGGGGGAGGCGGAAGCGGGCTGTCTTCCCCCGTGCGCCTCTCCTCCCCGGATACTGAACGTATGAGCGCTGCTGTGGCGGCTTCCGCCAGTGGCATGGGGATGGGCGCAAACAGGATTGTCTCCGGGGGCATTGGGGGGAAGGGAGGCGCTGGTGGGGGAGGAGCGGGGGTGATGGCTCGCGGGGGGCGGGGGGATGCGCGGGGGAAGCTGGGGAGGCGGGGGTCGGGGTTGAGCGGGGGGAGCGGGGCAGGGGGAGGGGGAGGGGGAGGCGGAGGCGGAGGCGCTGGGGCGAGCTGGGCTTACGCAGGGGAGGAGGTGGGGGAAGGTGGGGAGGGAGGAGGAGGGGGAGGCGGTGGCGGGGGAATGATGGGGCTGCAAGACGAAGACTACTCAGATAACGAAGACGTGGGGAACGCTTATGGGGACGTGGAAACCGGCATGCTCACACTGCCAGAGCTTCTCGGAGTAGACGGAGCAGACGCGATGCTAGAAGAGGCCCGTATGCTGAACCCGCACCGGCAGCGCCACTCCACGAAACCCCGGAGCGTGGCCGAGAGGAAGCGGCGGGAGAAAATCTCCGTGCGGCTGCAGCAGCTGAAGGATGCGATGCCGAAGGCGGAGGGGAGGTTGGATACTGCGTCTATGATTGAAGATGCGGTGGCGTATATTCACTCGTTGAGGCAAAGGTGCCGGGCGCTGGAGAAGCATAACGTGCAGCTGGTGGCGAAGGTGGAGCAGCTGCAGGAGAGGCTCGGGGAGCGAGGGGGAGTGGGGGGAGCGGGAGGGGGAGGCGGGGGAGGGGCTGGGGGTAGTAGTGGTGGTGGTGGTGGTGGTGGTGCTGGGAGTGGTGGGAGTGGAGGTGGAGGAGGAGGAGGGGCGGGTGGGAGTGATGAGTGAAGGGGGCGGGGGGTGGCGTATATTCACTCGCTGAGGCAGCGGTGCAGGGCGCTAGAGAAGCATAACGTGCAGCTGGTGGCGAAGGTGGAGCAGCTGCAGGAGAGGCTCGGGGAGCGAGGGGGAGTGGGGGGAGCGGGAGGGGGAGGGGGGGGGAGGGGCTGGGGGTAGTAGTGGTGGTGGTGGTGGTGGTGGTGCTGGGAGTGGTGGGAGTGGAGGTGGAGGAGGAGGAGGGGCGGGTGGGAGTGATGAGTGAAGGGGGCGGGGGGTGGCGTATATTCACTCGCTGAGGCAGCGGTGCAGGGCGCTAGAGAAGCATAACGTGCAGCTGGTGGCGAAGGTGGAGCAGCTGCAGGAGAGGCTCGGGGAGCGAGGGGGAGTGGGGGGAGCGGGAGGGGGAGGGGGGGGAGGGGCTGGGGGTAGTAGTGGTGGTGGTGGTGGTGGTGGTGCTGGGAGTGGTGGGAGTGGAGGTGGAGGAGGAGGAGGGGCGGGTGGGAGTGATGAGTGAAGGGGGCAGGGGGTGGCGTATATTCACTCGCTGAGGCAGCGGTGCAGGGCGCTAGAGAAGCATAACGTGCAGCTGGTGGCGAAGGTGGAGCAGCTGCAGGAGAGGCTCGGGGAGCGAGGGGGAGTGGGGGGAGCGGGAGGGGGAGGGGGGGGAGGGGCTGGGGGTAGTAGTGGTGGTGGTGGTGGTGGTGGTGCTGGGAGTGGTGGGAGTGGAGGTGGAGGAGGAGGAGGGGCGGGTGGGAGTGATGAGTGAAGGGGGCGGGGGGGTGGCGTATATTCACTCGCTGAGGCAGCGGTGCAGGGCGCTAGAGAAGCATAACGTGCAGCTGGTGGCGAAGGTGGAGCAGCTGCAGGAGCGGCTTGGGGAGCGAGGGGCGGCGGGAGGAGAGGGGGCAGGAGGGGGAGCGGGAGGGGGAGCGGGTGGGGGAGGGGGAGGAGCAGGATGAGGGGTTGGGGGTAGTAGTGGCTGTGGTGGTGGTGGGAGCGGTGGTGGTGGAGGAGGAGGGGTGGGTGGGAGTGACGAGTGAAGGGGGCGGGGAGGGTAGGGAGAGAGGCACCAGGTTGGGAAAGAGAGGGGAAGGATGGGCGACGGGAAGGGTACCGTGTGGTTTGGAAGGGCTGTGGAGGGGAGGGGAAGCGATTTGACTTAGGGGTCGTTTGTGCGAGGGGAAGCGAGGGAGAAGAGTGCAATGTGCGTGTGTGTTTGTGTGTGGGGGGAGGAAGGGGGTATGGGGTGAGGGAAAAGGGGTGAGGAGAGAGGAGGGGAGGAGCGGAGGAAAAGGAAGAATGAATTCTGAGGCGCCCTTGAAGCAGGGTGTTGGGTAATCTACCTATGATTATATTGGGTATACATGTACTAGATAGAGTGGAGATTCAGGTTCAGGAAGAAAGGTGTTTGTCTGGACAGCAGCTGAGGTAGCAGCAAGGTAAAGAAGCTGACTTCCAAAGCTTGCTACAGCGTCACACACGAGACGGCAGCTGAGGAAGCAGCAAGATGAATAAGAGAGCGACGAGAAGACAGAAATCTCAGGGAGGAACAAGTAGAAGGTGGAGGCAGAGACGAGGGAGGAGACAAGACAGAAGAGGAGCGGCAAAGGAGAGGAGAAGCAGCAGAGAAGACGCTACACGAGTGAGTGTGTTTGCTTTGAGCGGAGGGGGGGGTTGTCGATTCAATGGAGAGACGAGATGAGAGAAGACGAGACGAGACGAGGCGATACGAGACGAGATGAGACGGAGGAGAGGAGAGGAGAGGAGAGGATATGAGCAGTGCTGCTGTGGGGTTGGCAGCTGGTCAGCTTTGCTTTATTTATGCTGATGGGCATTGGCCGTACAGGTGGCTTCTCGAGATTACAGGTGCCTTTTCGAGATTACAGGTGGCTTCTCGAGATTACAGGTGCCTTTTCGAGATTACAGGTGGCTTTTCGAGATGACAGGTGGCTTCTCGAGATTACAGATGGCTTTTCGAGATGCGGAATTCGGTTAGGGTACACCCTGCATAAATGGAGGTTGCATTTCCGTATATGAAGAGTCTTATGGGCTTTTGAAGTGGTAGTGTGGGAGAAAAGGTGGGAAGGAGGGTGCATGGCAGGGGTGGTGGATGTTTGGGGATAGGGGTGCAGTGCGGTGGTCTGATGTTTAGAACACGTAGCGGAGCGGGTCAACAGCGGAGGCATGTGAGGGTTTAGTTGGTCGGTTCGGTGGGCCTCTGTCGTGATGGAAAGAGGGGACAGGGGCGAGCTTGCAGGGGGGTTACCGTATCAGGGGTATGAACCGTGGAAGTGGAGTGGAGGGAAGACTAAGGGGGAGTGGTAAGAGAAGAGGGGAGAGAGAGGGTGGGGTGGGGTGGGGGAGAGAGATGTGGAGTGGGTGGAGAAGGAAAGGGAAAGGTATCGGTATGTGGAATGTGGGGGGAAGAGGATGAGGGAGAGTGGGAGGGGTGAGGTGATTGGCTGTAGGAAGGGCCTGGGAACAACTGGTGTGGGGTGGGGTGGGGTGGGGTGGGGTTGGGAGGGGTTTTTCTGTCATTGTTATGTCAGTGTTTTCATTTGCCCTGGCATACCAGTACTGGGGAGACTGCAGTTGCTTTTAGGATAGGTACGGTAAGTGGCAGCGAACAATATTTTATGTGTAGTTTACTGACTGGGCATTTGAGCATGGATAGCTGGCCCTGTTTTCTGTTCTGGCTAATTGCAGGGATTTTTGTTGCATTAGACAGTCTCTTGCTAATGCCTGAAAGATACTGTAGTTTTTGGACTGTGTTCTTAGGGCGCAGGGCCTCAGATGTCAGGAATTTTACCCTGAATTCCTGAAGTTTGACCCCCGTTTTTTATCATGACCCAGATGCATCAGCCTTTTTTTTTCAACGACCCTGATGTTTCAGTGTTTTTAAATTTCGAACTCTGATTTTCCAGTGTTTTGTGTTTGAGGACACTGACGAGTCAGTGTTGTATCGGGGTCTACCCTGAAACCGAAAACTCCTTGTTTTGGCGCGCCGTCACTGTGCACCGTGCACCAAGGGGATTTCTGGCGAAACATGCTCTGACAGGGCGAATCTCTTGTGTGAGGGGCGAATCTGCTGCTGTGTCAGGGCAAATCTGCTGTGATTGGGCGAATTTGCTGTGCTGCGACAGCGCGTAACGACTGTGCGAGGTCGAATTTGCCGTCAGGGCGAATCTGCTGTGACGAACCAAGTCCGAATCATCAGTCAAGTACACAACCGAGATCAGAAACAATTCTTAACAATTGTCCTATTCGATCGGTCAGACAAGATTTCTGACCAATCAGACACGGAAAAAGCAGAATCCTGGCCGAATTTGGGAATTGTAAAGTAAGGGCAGTCTGATTCGCTGTGTTATGACAGCATACCAGTATAAGCAACTATGCTGATCAGTGTTGAAGTTTTAGAAACCCTGATTGATCAGCGTTTTATTTCTAACAACCCTGTAAAATCAGTGTTTCACACTAGACGACACTGAAAATCAGTGTTACCCTCCTAAGGACACTGAGTGCTCAGGGTACACAAAAACCAATCTGAGGCCCTGTTAGGGCGTGTCCCACGAGTTCATTTGTGGAAACAAAAGTAATTGTTACGTAACTTCGACAAAGCAGCGTAGTGTACACTATGACGAAAAAATAACGCATCGCGTCAGCACTCCACCATACGAAGTTGCACCATGCGGACTCAGCACCCCGTTCACACAAAACTCGTATCCCGAATCACATTCGACATGGTTCGCGAAAGGTAACCTGGACCGGTTGCGAGAATTCAGGGATTGGAATTAGGGTTACGCGGACCTGTTCGAGGTGATGGTACGTACCTTGACAGCTGTTTTTGAACGCTTGAAATTCGAACCTTTTGACACATTCAGCGCGTAAATGCCGCGCGTCATTGAAGACGCATGTCTACAGTAGTCCAGTATTAAGGGTTACAAATGCAAAAACAGGGTTACCTAGGTCAGCATGAACTGTAAACGAACTCGTGGGACACGCCCTTAAAACCAGCAGCTAAAATAGTGAACCCCATCCCTCTTGAAAAATGTGTTATGAAACCAGTCTGACAAACACTATTTCAAACGAATCGTATGGGCAGGCAGAGTGAACTTGTGTGATTGGCTCTCGCCAAAATGGAATGATTTGTCAAAGTTATGTTATATAGACATTTAGCCTGTAGTAAGTTACATCCTAGGGGGTACACAATTTCACTCGACACTCTCCTTGTACCCCCTCCCCTTTGACCTAATATACTATTCCGCTATATCGTCAGCCCCTGGATAGAAACGCCCTTGGGGATATAAAAACAACACTGTTTTTTTGGGGGTGGGCTTATAATTGAGGATTTTTATAAGCGCCGGCGCTTATATAATGACATATGAAACGAGTTTTCTTTACACGTTACTGTATATCTCGGTCTTGCAATTTGAATCGCGTCGAAACTATACAGGGTTATGATTGAGAATCTCGCGCAAGTTGGCAGGGAATGATTCCCTGCCAACACACCCAGTCAGAATGGGTCAACTTGCGCCTTTGACGTGTCATTCTGACTCGACGCGCTGGCAATGAGTCGAGCGAGGTTAAAGCCGCGGTGCAACTATCAAGTTCAACTTCAAAGTATTATAGCTTGGAAGAGGCTGACCCAGGCAGTTCATAGGCGAGAGGTTTGTCTTGTTGCGATACTCTAGTTTTTTTCGACCAATAGAAGTCCAATTACGCACAAGCAGTTTTTGTCCTGCTACTGTTCCTAAGAAGTTGCACTGCGGCTTTAAGGGTATCGAGATTCAAATTGTGGGTATGGAAATGTGAGTTTCGTTACAACGATTTCAGTAAAATTTAAAATCAACAAACAGAAGGTGACTCTTATAATCCGCAAGCCTTCAGGGGTGCGCTTATAATCGAGGACCGGATATAAGCGCCCTCATCATTTTATAAGCGCCGGCGCTTATCCAAGGCCTGCGCTTCTATCCGGGGGCTTACGGTACTCTGAAATGGTATCACGCTAGGAAACTTCCTAGCCCTAACTTGCATCCTAGTCCTAGAGCTTCTCCCTCCTTACTCCCTCCAGCCAGTGAGCCGTCCTCAGCCCGCCGTGGCGACTCCCACCGTCCCGTTTCCCTTGGTCGCGCGACCCCACTCAGGCCCGTTTCCCCTAGGTCGCGACCTTAGTAGCAGCGCGCGCCCCGCTATAGGCCACGCAGGACAAGGTCCGCCGTAGGCAGAGCGTGCCCCGCCGTTAGGCCGCGACCACGCACACGCGCGGCAGTCGCTCGCGCAGCTACAGCCGCGCACGTCACCACCGTGCGCACAGCAACAGCCGCACGCGTAGCAAGCGCCCGCACCTGCAGCGCCTGCATGCGCCACTGCCGCGGCCCACGAGCAGCAGGCGCACTTTCTCCTACCAATGCTGCCAACCGCCAGCAGTAGCAGCAGAGCTAGCCACAGCCATCCACAAGCAAGCAGAGTCAGCCAGCCTGCCGCCAGCAGCTACGCTCGCCGCCAGCCCCTCCCAGGCGCCCACAGCAACTTCCAGCTGCTCACATCCCCTCCCACAGCAACTTTCAGTCGCCCACAGCAACTCCCAGCCCTCCCAGCCGCCCACAGCAACTTTCAGCCGCCCACAGCAACTTCCAGCCGCCCACAGCCCCTCCCAACCGCCCACAAAACCTAACGGCCACCCACAGTAGTGCCGGTAGTGCCAGCAGCACCGGTAGTGATAGCCACCAGCACTGCTCTCCGTGCGCCACCTCACTCCAACCGTACTGACTGTCTCGTATACACCTCGGACCATTGGCACCTCTGGCAGCGGCTGGCAGCCGCAGTCACTTCTCCTAGCGCGAATTAGGGCTAGTAACCTTCGCGTGACTAGCGTTCCTAGCTTGTCATACCTTGCCCATCGATCATAGTCTGGCTCTCCGCGCTCCGTCCGCTCCTACTCCGGCCACTCCTAGCAGTT